GAAAAAGGAGGCTCCAATTCGCTCTCTTCACAATCACTTTTAACATTCAGATGTTAATTGGTTCAATGTCCATTTCACCGGGCAACATTTTAAGAAATTTGAAGATGGCGGCCTTTTATCGTCTGTTTACGAAACGATTCTATTTTTTTTTTTTTTATAACAACAAAATTGAACAAATCTTCTTAAATAAACTGATCCACTCATTAAAATATTTTTAATGATACATAGATAGATAATGAAGAGAGAGGGTACATATATATATATATATATATATATATATATATATATATATATATATATATATAGAGAGAGAGAGAGAGAGAGAGAGATGAAAAGGTTGAGATAGATAGATAGATAGATAGATAGATAGATAGATAGATAGATAAAAATGTCTTCGATTCAGACTTTAATGCTATAAGAATTAACTGTTGCGGCCCCAGTAGCATGCAGTGCTGGTTTACTAAAAGGTGGTCTTGTGCCAGACACTACTTATGACTACCGAATCCACAAACAAAGTAAAAATAATAAATTAATGATCTTGTTGCAGAGTAAAATTAATAGATGCGTTTCTTTGGTGATCTTTAGTGAGGAAAAAGGGTCATTTAACAGATGCATAAAAATAGTAAAATATAGATAGCCAGGAGGAAACGACAAAACGAATCTGGTGGAAAACATATATGAAATTTTATTTTAATAACAAATAATCTTGTCTCAACAGTGGGGACTATCAGAAAAGGTGAGGACTGTTCTTAGCCTGTAGGCAGTTAGTAATATGTAGAGACTAATAGAATATTAAAGTAAATAATAAAAAAAAAAAAAAACAAGATGGCTAAAGGGAAAAGTTTCTTCAGAAGGAAAGTTCTGGAATGTAGTCTTCTTGTACAAAAGGTGTAAGCATACACAACAAGGAAGAATACTCACTGCGAGGTTTAATAATGTGTGTGTAATGTTATCTTTTTTTTTAAACTGGTTCGTAAAGGTTAGAATTCAAAAGAGTTGTTCGCATCAAGACGAGGAATTTGGTCTTGGAAAAGTATGGTAACGACAGTGTCGTAGAACTCTGGTAGGGAACAGAGGAAAGTTCGAAAGTTGTTCGCATCAAGACGAGGAATTGGTCATGGAAAAGTATATTGACGACAGTGTCGTAGTCTCTACATTTTCTATCAAAAAACGGAGGAAAGTTCCGCATGTTGTTCGCATCAAGACGAGGAAAAGTCTTGGAAAAGTGTGATGTCGGCAGTGTCGTAAAGTTATAATCATACGACATGTTGAAGTTTTGGTTAGTTAAGAATAAGATATTCCGGCAGGCGTATGGGTTAGGAGCACGGAATAAATGAGTTGACCTTCTAGCTTGAAAATCAGGCAGCAAATGACTTGAAAACGCTGTTTGTCATTGACATCAGAGAAATGCGCGGGAAAATTTCAAATTCTGATTCTAGACGGTATCAGGAGTAGCTAGCCAGCCTGCCTCACGTCGGCGGTTACTGCTATATCTAGCCAAATATGAAAGGAAGGGGTGCAATACGCGCGCACGCACGCACGCAAAAGGGTGGAATCCACGATTCCACATAACCCCCTAAAATTTGTTCACATCATTTTAAGCAAAAATGATTTCTCTTAATATTGAAAGAAATTTAATTTTGTGACATATTTTCTTACTTATTGCTTCTGACATTCATATCATGCACCACATTAAGTAAAACTCTACCTTGAGAGGCTCTTGAAACTTGCAATCCATGAACTTTGATAAAAGTTATAAATAAAATAACGACTTATAATCGATTAATATATGATACAAAAGCATAACTACACTCATAAAACACACACACACATACACATATATATATTGATAATATTAGTGGTCAATATATATTAATTTATATATATATGTATGGGCATTTTGGATAAGGGTGCTTATATAAATGTAATATGTGTTTGTATGAATTGTGAAAGATATATGTATATGGATAGATATGTGTATGTATATATGCATATACTTGAAGTATAAATATATATGTATGTGGTATGTATATTTACTGGGGGTAGTTTTTTTTGGCTAGGTATCTTTTATATATGTGTATATGTATTTTGTGTGTAAAATATGTATATGCGTGTGTATAAATGTATATATATATATATATATATATATATATATATATATATGTTTTGAATATAAACGGCCATGTAATCTGTGTAAATGTGTATATAGATGTAAATATTCTAGAGTTAATATTTGTAATATGTGTGAATATATGTATAACATAGTAGTATAAATAAATATGCATGTGTGGATGGTTATGAGTATAGTTCTTTTCATATGCTTGTTTATGTATATAATCGTGTGTGTATATGTAGGTGTATGTATAAGTGTATGTAGATATGTATATAAATGTGTGTATATGTATGTATATGTGTGTGTATGTGTATATATATATATGTGTGTGTGTGTATAGAATGCATTCAAATGGAAGGACGTGGGCCATTTTAATGGTGTTTTAAAATTACTCTTATTAATATTTAATCTCACTTTCTCCTTTAAACTTAAATTTAAATATACCACTCTTTAACTATCAATATTAATAGTAAAATATTAATAAATTTTTTTTTAATAATTAAACACTTCAGAAATCACCTAACGTTAAATTAACTATGAAATTAAACAAAAATCTAAATAAATTTCAAATATTAAAATATAGGTAATTATTTATAAATGTATGTATATATAATTTATGTATGAATATAGATGAGCACCTGTATATCATTACACGTGTGTCTATTTGTGTATTTGCGCATGTAAAAAACGTAATATATATATATATAGGATTTGCATTAATAACAGACAAAAAATATATATGCTAGAAGAAAAAAAAAATATTTTAATATTACCCTCAAATATTATTTCATAATGAAACCTAAACCTTAAGTAAGATTACCCATATTAATAATAAAGAAAAATTGTGTTCATAAATCTTTGAAAAAAGTAAATTAATAAAGATGTTACCGTATATATTTTTTACAATATTAAATAAAGTACGATTGGTAGGGTAAATAAACTATTATATTTTAAAATACTTTTTTCATATGTTCTCTCTAAATGTGTTAATAAATATAGTATTTAACTTATATTAAGTCCCTAAACTATTTGTTTAAAAAACTAAATATTTAAATTGATAGCAATCATCAAATTTTTTTAGACATCTAATTTTCTATCAAGCATTGAAATCTATCCTTTACATAAATTGCTAAAACCCAATTACAGCCTCTTTCTCTTTACTTCCTTCTTCCTCTCCCTCATTTGTATATGTCTGTATTACTGTTTTCTGTCTCCTCTTTCTTTTTCATTTCTCCCTACTCCCCTCCCATTTCTATATATCATTTCCGTTAAGTTAACCATCTAAGTAGGTCAAGGTCTGGTCACTCCTCCTACCGCAATATAAAATACACTTGAGAGAGATATAAAAGTAATCCCTCCCTATATTCTACCATGTCTCTTTGACTATCCCTCTCACACCCTCTGTTAAAGTACATAAACTTACACTACCCATCAATTTTAATCTCATTTTTCGTCTCATTTCATTTTTGGAAGTGCTATCTGATGATCCGGCGTCCTTTAAAAGGACTCTGGTGAAATAAATTATTATAATGGTACCTTAAAGTGGTCTGTTTTTCTTTTAAATAATATATATATATATATATATATATATATATATATATATATATATATATATTGTCAAGAGGATTAAATCCAGTTAGAGCTCTATGTACAAGACAGAGTAATAATATAAAAGGCTCAAACACTAATATTCCATGGTTATAATTTATTACATTGGGATCGTAATCACGATCCAATTCATCAGACCTAGAAATTCAAAAAGAAAACAGAAAATATAAAACAGAAAATTTAACTCCGTGTATATTATACCCGGAGTTCTATTTTCTATTTTCTTTTTGAATTTGTAAGTTTAATGAATTGAATCGTGATTACGATTCCAATGTA